GACTGTACATGTAACCTTACTGACTGTACATGTAACCTTACTGACTGACTGTACATGTATCCTTACTGTCTGACTGTAGTGACTGTACATGTATCCTTACTGACTGACTGACTGTACATGCATCCCTACTGACTGACTGTACATGTAGCCTTACTGACTGTACATGCAACCTTACTGACTGTACATGTAACCTTACTGACTGTACATGTAACCTTACTGACTGCCTGTACATGTAACCTTACTGACTGACTGTACATGTAACCTTACTGACTGACTGTACATGTAACCTTACTGACTGAATGTACATGTATCCTTTCTGACTGACTGTACATGTATCCTTACTGACTGACTGTACATGTATCCTTACAGACTGACTGTACATGTAACCTTACTGACTGTACATGTATCCTTACTGACTGTACATGTAACCTTACTGACTGTACATGTAACCTTACTGACTGACTGTACATGTAACCTTACTGACTGTACATGTATCCTTACTGACTGACTGTACTTGTATCCTTACTGACTGACTGTACATGTAACCTTACTGACTGTACATGTAACCTTACTGACTGACTGTACATGTAACCTTACTGACTGTACGTGTATCCTTACTGACTGACTGTACATGCATCCTTACTGACTGACTGTACATGTATCCTTACTGACTGACTGTACGTGTATCCTTACTGACTGACTGTGGTGTTGCGTTAGTGTCTCATGATGATTGCTGTACGTACAGTAGTCTACAGTTTCTATCGTCTCCGTGTGTCTCTGCCACCTAAGACATTAAGTTCTGAGGGTTTCATGTGATGGAAGTATCTCCTGGAACTCCAGGATTTACTTTTGGAAAAATCAGGGGAATTTGTTTCCATCAAAATGTTGGGAAGCTGCTGCTGCTGTTGGGGAATGGCAGCTGCCAAGTTCATGGCAACAACCAACACAGAAATGTTCCTGTTTGTAGAATCGCTAAATAATGTTGCTGTTTTTGTTTCATTTGTTTAATATAATTTTCTTCCATTCATTTTTCATTTTATGTGATTGTGTATTGTTGTTTGTACGTCATCTGTGTTCCTCGTTTAAAGCAGGCCTCTTGTAAATGAGTCCCCGAGACTCAGTGACACTAACCTGTAGAAGAAAAGGTTGGATGAATGAATCATGAACCAACCGGCTTGTCGAGCCCTACTCTAAAAGTTTGCAGCTCAGATTGTGTAAGAGTTCTTCAGTGGCTGTGGAACCAGTCTACTTGCACATCTGGAAAGGTACATAAAGGTATGGTCGGCTTTAAGAGCATCATGTACTCAAACCCAGGGAGCCTATTTTACTATTACATTTACAAGTTTTTAACTTTTCAGTTACACGTTTAAGTGGAGGCACCTGTCTCAGTGTGGAAATCTTTGTGTGTCGGCACACACACCTCAAGCTGCCTCTCTTTGGCATGGCAGGGGTCGACATGAGGAGTTTGTTTGTCCAAGACGGTCTTCTTTCGTCTGGGACAACCAGATCTCACCTCGGGGTTGTCCGGTTGTTCAACCAAATGAAACAGGCACAGAGTGAAGTTCTCCGTCGCCGCGACAGATTTCTGACATGTCATCTGTAAAAATGAAAGGGGGAAAAACGAGTGTTTAGTTTTGGTCTTTTTAAAGCCTTCCAATGATCCAGGGGTTAAACTGACGCCACTTTCAACCAACAAAGAGAACCAGAGTCATAGTTTGAGCCAATCAGAGCAGGGCGGGGCGGGGCCTGCTGTAACGGCAGGTGAGAGCACCAGAGTTTCCTGGACTATTTTCCAAGGAGGACACCCAAACTGATTATTAATCGCATGTTGGAACGTGACCAATTCATCACCCCATCCCCTGTTCCTGCTCCACGCCCCTGACGTCCCAAGCACTTTGGTAAATAAAATCTAACAATTTATAAAACGTTACTGTGTGAGGAGCATCATCATCAGACGTGCAGCCTGCCTGCGTGGCCAAACTTGTGGCCTTCAAATGATGCAGCGCAGTTCGCTCAGCCAGTCTCTCTCAGTGAGACAGGAGGCTGCTTCAGTTCTTATAATTAACAAAATTAACTCTAAAAGAGAAATATTCAAATGTCCCACATTATACCAGACATGTTTCTCCATTTCTCTCTGAGAGTTTCAGGTGTTTGCATTTATCATAAATATGTAAAAGGTTCAGTTCTACACGTGATTTAACAACAACAAGGTGTTTGTATGGATGAGCTAAACCTGTACACAGTATGCTGTGTATTTGACCCAAGTTAAAGTACACTGTATACTGTGTACTTTCAATAGTCGTGTACACAGTATGGACCAGGGGAAAAGGTTTCATCACCAAACGGTTTATGGGAGTTGAATCTGAACAGTTGACATTTGTTGACAGCAGCAGAAATGTGTAGAGAAAGGCTGAATAGATGAAATAATTAAATCTGAAATTAGCTAAATAGAAGCTGATGAGAACAGAAAAAGCTAAAAATAGCTGAAACAGCTGGCGACAAAACTGAAATTAATAGAAAGAAGCAGAATGAAGCAGAAGTGTAAAATATTACAAAGAATTTTAAAAAGCAGAAAAACGTCTAAAATTTCCTGAAGAATACCTAAAATGTAGTTGAAACAGTGTGAAAAGGTGAAATTAGCAGAAAGAAGCCGAGCAGAGATACCATACCACTTTATAAAGAACTGAAAAACAGCAAGAAGGCCGACTGAAGTGCTGAACAGCAAAACAAGCAAAGCACACGTCAGAACATACATGGATGAATAAATAAATAAGTTGTATAGATCCACAGAGGTCAAGATAATAACTAATGACAGACGGTACAGAGAAGTTAAAATCAGCTCACGCAGTGACAAAATCCAGGGAATTAAAGTGAGTTTTTAAACGAGACCTAAAACCAGCGAGAGGGAGCCTGCCTGACCTGCAGTGGTAACTCAGTCCACAGTTTGGACCTGCAGCAGAGAAGGTTCTGTCACCTCTGAGCTCAAGACGAGTGACTGGAACCAATAAAACATCGCTGGGGGACATATGGCTGCAGCAGATCAGTGAGTTAGGAGGGGGCAGAACTGTTCAGAGATTTAAAAACATACAGAAGTATTTTAAATGAATTTGGAAGTGAACTGGGAACCAGTGCAGGGAGGCCAGAACCGGAGTAATGTGCTCTCTTTTGCCTGGACCAGTTAAATTTTGGGCCGCAGCATTTTGGACCAGTTGTAATTGTGCAATGGAGGAGTGAGTGATTCCAAACAGAAGTGCACTGCAGTAATCGAGCCTGGATGTTATGAACGCATGTAATACAGTCTCAGATTCATTCAACCTTTATTTCTACAGGTTAGTCCCACTGAGCCTCAGGGACTCATTTACAAGAGAGACCTGATTTAAACAAAGAGTGATGACAACGGTGGACAAACGATGACAATAATCATCATAAAACAAAGCGTACAAATTGAGAAGAGCAAATAAAAGAAAATGGTATTTAAAAGAAAGACGAAACAAAAACATCTAGATTGTAAAGTGATGTAGAAAAC